TCTTTAAAAACATATCCACTTTTTAAAAAAATATTTAAGTAGCATTTATTTAATCCAAATGGTAATAACTAGTCATTCATAATATATATTTAATATTATATTATATAATATTTAATATAATATAATATAAAATATACCGTAAATTAGTATATATACGCATGTCGATGTGTGCTTTGAGCTCACAAATCATCAGCCATGGAGAACTTGATTTCAAGCTGGTGCACCACCGTGAAATCTCTGCCCCTTCAGTACGTGTTCCCAGAAGACAAAAGACCAGGGGATCAAATTGTTCCTAACTTCGACAACTGTCCCGTGATCGATCTCGAAAAAGCAGTTTCTGGTGATCGAAATGCTGTCATCCAACAAGTTCTTCAAGCTTCCCAAGACTGTGGTTTATTCCAGGTATATGCTTGATCATTTTGTATTAGTTTGTTGGTTTATGTACGAGAACGACGTGCATGACTCCAAGATTTCTTGAAACCATACGAAAAACTAATCTTTGATTCATTTGAAATTAGGTTATCAACCATGGAATTTCTGAAGATCTGATCAAAGATGCAATGGAAATAGTGAAAGAGTTCTTTAACATGCCGAATGAGGATAAGGCGAGTCTGTACTCGCTTGATCCTCAAAAGAGTTGCAGACTGTATACGTCTAGTTTTGACTATGTTGGGGAGACAGTCCACCGTTGGAGGGATGTCCTAAAACACATTTGCGATCCAGTAGAAGGATGGGTTGACTCGTGGCCCCAAAAGCCCTCCAAATACAGGTAAAAGTATATAGGATCACACTCTAGTGAAAACCGCAAAAAATGAAAAACTGAGGAATACCCTGGTAACCGAACGGTATGCACATGTGAATACAAGTAATTTGTAAGCAATTTGTCCGGTATGTACATGTGCATAAAAACCAAGAAACAACTTTAATTACGTGTATGCACATGTGCATATCGCCTAGATGAATGGTTACCAAAGTGTTTCTCAGTTTTTCGAGGGTTTCCCTCAAATTTTATAAACGTATTATATATGTTATATTGAATAAATAGTTAATGTGTTCTTTTTTTTTCTTCGTGAAGAGAGGTTGTGGGGAAATATTCGATTGAAGTAAGGAATCTGTCGTTTAGAATACTAGAGATGATCCATGAAGGACTGGAGCTCGGGCCCGGATACTTTGGGGATGATTTGACTGGCGCTCAAAATTTATTGTTGAACCACTATCCGCCATGTCCCGAGCCAAGTTTGGCCTTGGGAATATCGAAACATTCTGACCCTAATGTCATAACGATCCTTTATCAAGAAAATATTGGCGGGCTTCAAGTGATGAAGGATGGACAATGGGTCGGGATCGAACCAATTCCTAATGCTTTAGTGGTCATGATTGGTCATCTACTGAAGGTACACGAACTCTAACTCGATTGAAATTTGGTCGGTTTAGTTCTCTTTAAAATCTTTTGTTATTTAAAAGTGTTAAAAACATCTGGAATAAAGTGGCCCGCTTACTAGTGATCTTACGTATGTTTACTAAATCTGAAGTATCTGGACCCGTACACGGGTTTTGAAATAATTTCAGGTTGTCAGTAATGGAAAGCTTGAAAGTGCAGAGCATAGAGCTGTGACAAACGCAAAAGAGTCGAGGTACACCATTGGCAGCTCCATCAACCCTCGTAGCAAGGATGTTATCGTTGAACCTGTAAAGGCGCTCCTTGAGAAAGATGGTTGTCACCCTCTTTATCGGGCCTTCAGTTACAAAGACTACCATCAAGTGTACAAAGAAAACCGAGGCGAGGGTGAACCTACCCTTGAAGTGTTTAAAATCAAGGGTTAAATATGTTTGAAAAGAAACAGTTTTTAGTACCGGTCTCGTATTCAATAATATTATCTATCTGGTTTCAAGGTATGTGATGTAAGAGAAAATACAAAGATGTACCTACATCGTTCCTAATATCAAACAAATGGGATTATTTATGTCAATTTGAAAAATCATCTTGATGTCTTATAATCAGTGTTCTAAAAGGCTTTGTTACAACAGCAGTCGTGGCTCAAAACTTGTGTCTGACGCATTGTTCTAAACAACTCGTTATGGCGTCAAGACTTGGATTTGCCACAACGTTAATTCCTATGGCTCCATTATAAGGCTTGGCTTGGCTTGTATTGTAATACGTCATGGTGCGTTACGACGTGTTACTTTTGTAAGGCCTGGGGTTATTTTTAATATATGACTTAAGAGATAATTGATCATTGTGTACGAGATCTAAAACTTAAATGTACATAAAGGGAAACTTAAAAACTAAAAATCGTGAATACTTACAACCATTCTCGTACATGAAGAGTCGAACACGAATTATTTAAAAATTGAATCATTTATGAGTAGAGATTCTAGAAATTTAATCCCGATCTTGCACTCTTGATATAATTTTTTATAACCTCTCTCTTTCTATCTCTCTCTCTCTCTCTCTCTCTCTCTATATATATATATATATATTTGATTAACCTGGATATCCAATTCGCTATGCGAGCTGACTAATCCCAGGGCGACCACCTGCTTTGCAGATAGCCTGGAGTCATCGCGTTTGAACCTCCGTAGCCTCAAAGGAATTTTTATTCCTCCTTGGAATTAAACATATGACCTTCTAATACTTTTGACCTTTAGAGCCAAACTCAAACCAATCAGAGACCACCCTTGTGGTTGTATATATTTGGTATCAATAGTTCTTCTTTCTTTTTTAGTTCTATGACTTTATATATTTTAATTTATTCTACTGTATTATTCAAAACACCAACACACACAAGTGTATATGTTTGTGTGTGTGTATATATATATATATATATGCCGCCTTAGGCACGTTTTGGAAAAATATTGTCGCCTCGCTGCAACTCATAAGGCTTGAAGCTTGACATCGGCGTCACATCTCACACCATTTAGAACCTTGGTTTGACTCTGACTCTACGTCAAGTATGTGGTATGTCATGGCTCAGTGTGCAGTTTTTGTAACGCGATGTTTTACTTGTCATTTTTTCATATGACTTAAATTTGCGATGCTCTTGGCTTGGAAAAATGCTATGGCAATATATAATCGTTACTTAGCGAGGTTGTGATATTTTGTGACACCTGAAAAAGAATCGAAAATAAATATCGAAACCACGAAGATTAACCGATCGAGTAATTAGAACTCGAGAGGAAGAATAGCGCTTCGAGACCCTCGTGTGTGTCCAAACGAGAAGAAAGGTCTCTTCGTCCTGGTGGCCTCTTCGTGGTTTCTTATGATATCTTGAACCGATAAGAAAATGTCACGATCAACAGCAGAATCCATCGAGAAAGATCTTCGAATCGGTTGGATCGCAACCTGTTCATCTTTCGTCCCGGTAATTCTTTCATCTCCCGTTACCAAATCAAGACGAGACTTTCTCGATCCATTTGCTGCTTCCCCCAATTCAATCGTAACAAAATCTTGATCGCTGCTTGTAGGGCTATCATGGGCGAACAACGGAGGATCTTGAGGTGAAGAAGTCGGCACGATCGTGTCCGTCGGATACTGCATCATACCCGAGATGTTGAATCGGCAAATCGGGCAGTTGGGATTGTTCCGAAGCCAAACGTCGATGCAGTGCAAATGGAAGCCGTGGTTGCAACTCGGAAGAACTCGTAATGTGTCTAAATCTTGAAACTCATTCAAACAAACAACACATTTATACAATCTTCGGTTCTCACCGTCTCTTTCGCTATATCGACAAACGGGTATCTCTCGAATTAACGATTCATCGAGTCCAGTGATTTGCCATGCCGGAGTCGAGTAGACCGACGGTGGTTCTTCGGCGGTGATCGTCCATGCCATCAAGAAGCGGCTTAAAGGGTAGCAACACTTGGTGATCAAGAAGTAGCTAACGAGCAGAAACGTAATGGCCGTGATACAGGCTATCACAATGGCTAGCAACGGGAATCCGGTGGCGGTTGCTGCCGGAAAAGCAGGTGGCTGGTAGGTCGAGTTATGGTGGTTCATGATGGAACGGTGGTCGGAATCATAGACTTGTTTATGTACATAACTAGAACTGAAATCCATTTATGGATGGATCTCGAGTGAAAAACTCGAGATGATACCGAGATTCAGTTCTGCGATTCGTTTGAAAAACTTGGGGTTATTTTAATGAAATTAAAAAAGAAATTTATTGAAAAAAGAAACATAATAATTAATTAATGGTTAGATTGCTCCTAAAATGGGGGATTTGAATGATTGCTAGCGTGGGTAACCTCATGAGAGCCTCTTTTAAACATTTACTATTTTCTATGTTTTTATTAAATAAATAAAAAGGTGAGTTATGGTTTTCATTAATATGACTTAATTAAAAGGACAAATTATATGAAAATGTAACGTATTTTAACTTGATTTTTATTTTGGATAACGTATTTTTACAACTTTCATTTTGTTACTTAAAATGTAAAATTTTAAATATTTAAGTACCCGAGTAACCGGTTACCATGCTGATATGACGAGTGATATGATATCCAACTCAGTATTATTTATAAGACCTAATTTATAGAATCAAAAAATAAAGCTTCATATCTAAAGTTGTAATAAGTTTATAAGACGTTTTTGGACGTCTTAATAAGTTTTTTGTTATACTTTTAATACAAAACGTCGCATTAACTATTTTATAGCTTTTTTTTATAGAAAGTGTCATGTAAACCATCTTTTTATAGGACATTTGTTTTTATAAAACATTTTTTTAAATAGTACCTATAAGATAACTAATACAATGTTTTTTTATAAAAATATCATAAAAAACTTGTTATGATGTCTAAAAACGTCCTATAAACTTATTATAACGCCTTCGGTCCTATAAATCGGTCTATTAAGACGCTTAAAAACTTTTGACATTCTATAAAGGGAAAAGTAAAAAAAAACTAATGGACTTTAGTGTTTGGAATGATTAAGCCATTGGACAATTTTTTGGAACAAATAAGTCATTCGACATTCCAAAACATGTTAAATAACTTCTTGGACAATTTTTTGTAACAAATAAGTCCTTGGACGATCCAAAACATGTTAAATAACTCATTGAACAATTTTTGGAACAAATAAGTCATTGGACAATCCAAAACATGTTAATTAACTTCTTGGACTTTTCTAAAACCTGTTGTATACATTCTTATGACTTGTACACATAGTTAAAGTGGTAAAATAGTGACAAAAGTCCAAAAAAAACCCCAATGAACATTTATATTTTGAATGATTAAGTCCCTTAATATTTTTTGAACCAAAAAGTATTGTTTTATAAAATTAAACAAATATAACAAAAAAAATACTTACATTTACAAAAAAATAATTACATTAATTTTTTTTTTGATAAA